GAGGTGTTTGGGGGTTTTGTGTGAGATTTTTAATTTTTTTTTTTTTTTTTTTTTGTCTTTTTAAGACAGGATTTCCCTGTAGCCGCAGCTGGCCTGGAACTCACAGAGATCCGCCTGCCTCTGTCTCCCAAGTGCTGCGATTAAAGGCCTATACCACCACGCCTGGCTGATTCTACAGTTTTTTTATTCACTGGGGAACATGTTATGTTTTCTGATAATGTTTATGTGGAGAACATGATATGTACATTGCAGTAAGGGCCAAACAAATAACTATCAGGATACAGTGGCTATCAATAGTACAATACGCATACAAATGCTTTCTCTTGCTTCATTTTTAAAATTCACTCTGTTTGTGGCTTATGAATGTGTGCATCTGTGTGTCTGTAGCAATCAGCCATACATACATGTGTAGAGCTAGTGGTGCCCTGTTTATAACTCTCCACCCTATTTTTGAGACATCATCTCTCAGTGAACCTGGAACGTGCAATTTCAGCTTGACTGGTTGGCCAGTGAGTCCTAGTGATCTGACTGTCTCGATTCCCCCAGCAATGGGGTTACAGACATGGGCTGCCATCATCAGTCTTTTCATGGGAATCTAAACTTTTCATGGAATCTAAACTTGGGTCTCACACTTTCCCAGCCAAGAGTTTACCTGCTCCGCCATCTCCTCAGTCCCACAAATGCTTTCCTTCAAGTGTTATTATTTCCTTTATGCACTACATTTCTGAGTTTTTATTCAATCTTTGGTTTCCTTTTTTCAGTTGGTTAGAAATTTCTTAGCTTGTCCTGATCATACATGCCTGTAATCATAGTATTCCAGGACCTAAGAGAATGAAGATCTTGAATTCATGGCCAGCTTGCACTATATAGCATGCTCAGGAATAGCTTAGGCTACATAGTGAGACTCTCAAAAAACAAAACAAAAAGTTCTTAGTGTAAGTCTATAAATTTGTTTATACAAAGCTGTCTTTAGGTGGAGTATGCACAACTATGTGTAGGTGGAGTATGCACAACTATGTGTACTTAAACAGAAAGTCTTCATAGAAATAAACAAGATGAATGGTCCATGCTAATGATCTGTCCACACTTCAGAGGTGAGATTCAGTTTTATAATATAAACTTCATTCAGAATATCTCTATAATTCTGTTTTCATCTGTATCTTTGTACAGACCACTATACCAAATACACTACAGACAGCGTGGTTAAAGCAGCAAATCTTTACTTCTCACAGTCTTGTAGGATGGGAAGTCTAAGACCAAGGTGCTGTGGTATCCAGTGTCTGGTGAGGGTTCTTTTCCTGAATTGCAATGGTCCTTTATTTACATCATCACCTAGGGATGTCAGCTGTAGTGAGCAGAGATAAAAGGAGCAGCTCATCTATGATTCTTCTTTTCTTTTAAAAAATATTTATTGCCAGGTGTGGTGGCGCACACCTTTAATCCCAGCACTCAGGAGGCAGAGGCAGGTGGATCTCTGTGAGTTCAAGGCCAGCCTGGTCTATATAGTGAGTTCCAGGGGCTACAGGGAGACCCTGTCTCAAAAAGACCCCAAATTTTTTTATTTATATTTTATGTGTATGAGTATTTTCCTGCATGTATGTAAGCACACTATATACATGCAATGCCCTCAGAGACCAGAAGAGGGAGTCAGGCCCCTTGGAACTGGATTTACAAACAATTATCAGCCACCATGAGTGCTGACAACAGATCTGTAACACTGATGTGAGTCTAGATCATGGTTTGGTCACTACATTAATAGACAGATTTCATTAGGGAAAATTAGTTTACAATTCTACTGCTTAGATGTAGGCATATTGCTCAATTCCATAATAATTGTTCTTTTGGATAATACACCTTCATCTTCCACTCTTTGTTCCTGTGAAGCTAATATGGTAAGGAAACCTTTAGTCTCTTCCTTTTAAAGAAAGAATTCCTGAACCTTCCTCAGAATTGGATATAAGAATGATTGCTTCAGACTTCTATTGTTCAAAGAGCCCAGTGCTTTAAACATGGATATTAACAGTCGTGGTCTGCTCCTAGTCTTATAAACATCAATATTTCTTCTCTAGTTCTACTCCCCACCCTCATTCCAAACTGATGGTTTCCTGAAATTCATACTTTCCGATTGGTTTGACAAGGATTTAAGCGGCCAACAAAACTACTATAAGGTTAAAAAGATTTCCAGATCAATCATGATAAATTATTCTAGCACATGTTTTAGTTATATATATATTACCTGCCTAATAGCCCTCCCACAAATCTCCACCTAGTGAATATCTTTCTCTTTACTATTCTGGCTTTACTTAATAGAAATATGAAATTAATTGAACATTTTCTACAATGGAAGAACCAAACTCCTTGGAGGTTTATAAAACTCATTTCAAAGTTAGTTTGAACTGATACTATATGATATCCAAAAAGAAGAAAGGTTGTCAACAAATCATTGAAACAATTTATAAAGAAAATGTAAATTTTCATCATTTTTTCATTTTTATTTCACTGAAGAGGTATCCCCTTGCACACTTATTAAATTTGTACCTTAAAAACAATTTTTGACTTTTAATCTCTTAGATGAAAGTACTTCCCATTTTCCCTAAAGCAATGTGAACTTGTAATTATTAATTCACATAAATTGTTTCTTTTTCTTAAAATTGGTTTTGTGAAATTAATTCATAGAAGTACCTTCATATTCAGTTAAGCTTGGTAGAGGGGGTGTATTAAATGGCACTACTTGAATCATTCAGTAACTCTTGGCTAAATGGATTTAGTCACCAAACAGCAACCTCATCTAAAAATATGTATTCCCTGGCTTTCAACATGCACCCCTCTACCTGACACCTACAGTCTTGCAAGTCAGTGTTGCCATTGCCTGGATCATACTTTTTCCTCCAGTTTAGCTGTTATGCATTAGGAAATGAAGAGTCTAGTTCAATTACTATTCTTATTTTGCAAACTCTCAAACTGAACTTTAGGGTACAAAGTACACATCTTCCAGGAGCCACTGCATCAAGCAAACGTCAGTTGTCACTTGTTGGGGCCATTAACTAGACAAGCCCCAAATAAAACTGAGAACAGAGAGGACATGTCATGCGTTCTATAAATTGTGTGTTCTGAGAACCTATTAAAGCTGACAGAGAAGGGGGCCTGCGATAGAGAGACCCTGATTACACCATGTACTTTATTCCCTGTTGGCTTTGGTTATGCCTCACCTTCCCATTTCCTAGAGAAATAAATTAAAAGTCAGAAGTAATTTGCCTGACGGAGGGTGCAGGTGGAATTTCGCTCAGAAGAGCGCTTGCACACTGTGAAATCCAATTTAACCCCTTGATGGGGGATAGCGTATTTTCTTCTGTTGACAGCTTTGTGGCAGCTAAAATAGGGACCTGATTAAATAGAGACAGTGAGAGATTGAGGTCTTGTTCTAACAGCAGGGGGATCAAGGCCTCTAATCTTACCTCCCAGAACACTGAGATGAACTGAGAACTTCAGCAGAAATTAGTCCAGTTATTTTGGGCAATAGAAGGAGAAAATCTTAACAACACAGAAAGATGAGCAGTCAGTAAAGAAATACAAACATCAGCATGTGAAAACAAGCAAGTTCGACTTGCATGCCAAAACAGAAAAGAAAAAGAAAAAAAAAAATCTCTAAAGTAAATGAAAAGATGAGCTTTGGATAAGTTCTTCCTCTGAAAACTGTTTTAAAAGATGAGTGACTTTTAAGGGGAAAATATGAATTTGAGACGAATTTAAGATACTACAATTTTAATCTAATTTTTAAGTTGCATTTATCTAGTAAATTATTTTCAATATGCATATTTAGTACAATTAATCAAATCTAACCAATGTATGTCTGTTTTTAAGTTCAAAAAAATAATGTTTTGTGTATTCACCAAACAGTTTAGTATTATTATTTTTTTGTCAATTTACTTGAAAATTCAGGAAGACAGTGAAGCTAAATTTTTTAAATGTTTATTATTTTTATTTTATGTGTATGCTTGTATTGCCTGAGTGTAGGTAAGTGCACCCGTGTGGTGCAACGCCCGCAGAAGACAGAAGAAGCTGTCAGATCCCCTGGAACCATAGTTACGGATAGTTGTTAGCTGCCGTGTGGGTGCTGGGATTCGAACCCAGGTCTTCTGCAAGAACAACCAGTGTTCTTAACCACTGAGCCATCTCTCCAGCCTCGAAGCTAAATTTTATGATTTACTAATAACAGGCATTTTGCTATTCAGTGGCTCTGAGAGTGAGTACTTTATATGAGGCTTTTAAGTGTGACACAGAAAATTTAACAATGATCTCTTCCTCACAAAACACTGAAGCCATATTTTTCAGCTATGCATCTGAGTGCTTGCTTTCTACCTCGCCATAGCTGGGACTGAGACCTTTTCCTCCACATGCATTCAGCAA